GCGCGGCGTGGCTGCTCGGCTGGGCGGCTGCGTCTGGTGGTTCGGCGGGGGACCTGGATCTGGCAGGTCTGTGGACGCGGGGTGCAGGATCAGATCTGGTTCTCTGCAGACCCGTCGACGAGGAGGCTTGCTGGTGGCCCTGCACAGCGTTGGCGCGCTCGCTGAGTGGGGGGTGCACGGTCCAGTGGAGGTACGGGTCGGCCTCGGCCGGCTGTGTGGGAGTGGCTGCCCCGGGCGAGTAGCCTGGCTGGTGCTAGCCGGCCGGCGACGACGACGCTCGTGGGCGTCGCTATCCTCCTTGGAGGCATCGTCGGGAATCTTCACAGCCTCTACTCCCGGTTCAAGTTCTTCGGGTGAAAGCCTAGATCCTGCTGTAGGGTCGGGCGGTGGCGTCGTCTTCAACGTCGTTCCCCTCTTTAGGGCGCCGTCTTGAAGACCTTGATCCCATTAGTGCTTCCTGCGGCTGGACGTGCACGGTGGCTTCTGTGGCAACGATGACGGCGGTGAGCAATGTCGGAGGCGTGGCCTTGGTCGTGGTAGTCGGCTCTTCTTCTCCGGCGTGTCCGTGGGTGTGCCTCGACCGCCTGTTGTTGTGAAGTCGAAGCCGCGGTGGGGGGGGGGGGTATACGATGACGCGTGACAGATGGCTCGTTCGGTGATCATCCGTGACGCCACCCCTGCCTGTTTCCTCAGTAGTTTCTTCGTCGGAGTCGGAGCTGCGCTGCCTAGTATGGATTGTATGGAGTGTTGTGCTGCAGCTATTAGGGCTGCTGTTTCTTTTTCTTTTCTTTTCTCTTTCTTTGATCTTCGGATCTGGTCCTAGGACCTTCACCACCTTGTTGTTTTCCGCTGCTTTCTGCTATTATCAATGAAATGCCAGCGATGCTGGATCTTTCAAAAAAAAACTTATCGAAATGCTTGATAAAATCAGAAGAAGATGCTTGTGGATCAAAAAAATTGAGCAAGGTGACAAATGCAACTCTCTTGCTGCTTGGGATATGGTGTGTAGACCAAAAAACAAAGGTGGCCTTGGTGTTCTCAACTTGCGGGTCCAAAATGAAGCTTTGCTCCTCAAATTTTTGCACAAATTCTATAATAAGATGGACATCCCCTGGGTCCAATTAACTTGTGACTCTTATTACACAGAGAAGATACCTCATGCTACTGACCCAGCTGGCTCCTTTTGGTGGCGTGACATCCTCAAACTCTCTCCTAAGTTTAGGGGAATCTCAAGCATTAACGTTGTCTGTGGCACCACTGCCTTATTTTGGAAAGATCTCTGGGCTGATCAGATTCTGCTAGACTCTCACCCGTGGGCTTTCTCTCACTCCTTAAACGAGGATGCCTCGGTCAAGTATTTCTTGGGGATCACACCACTGCATGAAGTGTTCCACCTTCCATTGTCACCTCAAGTGCATGACGAGGTCAGACAACTACAGGCGGTTGCTGCCGAGCTCCAGCCATCAACGGCAACCTCTGATTTGTGGCACTACGCGTGGGGCAAAACAAACTTCAAGTCAACGGACTCCTATCGTTTTTTCTTCAAGGATCTACACTCCCATCAAATCTTTGGCTGGATATGGAAATCAAAATGCACCATGAAGCTTAAGGTGTTTGCGTGGTTGCTGTTCCAAGATCGACTTAAAACACGCGCAATATGCTTAAGCGAAGGCATTATAACATCGGGGATGATCACAACTGCTTGCTTTGTGTCCACAGCATTGAAGAAACTGTTGAACACATGATTTTCACTTGTGTTTTCAGCAAGCGGTGCTGGAGTAAGCTTGACATCATTTGGGATCCATTCCCTGGCAGGATCCAAGCTATTCAAGACCAGAAGAATACACACCCGTCACCTTTGTTCCTGGAAATGTTCATTGTAGCGGCTTGGAGCATTTGGAAGGAGAGGAACAATCACCACTTCAGAGCTATACCACGCTCCTTTCAGTCTTGGCTTGGGAGATTCAAGAGAGACTTTGGGATTTTACAATACAGGGTGAAAGAGGCACATAAGCCTTTGGTGCTTAATATTGTAAACTCTCTTTGATAGCACTTTAAAAGTAGACTTTTCTTCTCTTGCCACAAAGTGGCTGAGACCTACCCCATGTAAATACCCATTTGTACAGTCCCCCCCATATTTATTAATATATTAACACAGTAGGAGTCTTTCCTACTGTTCACGGTCAAAAAAAAAGAGAAAAACTCCGCCTGCCTCCGCCAGCGTCAAACGCTGCTAAGTGGGAAACCGTTTAGGTTTTGATCGATGTGAACAAGTTTTGATCGGCGTAAACAGTAATTGGGAATGTGACGAGAAACAAGCTCAAAATTTATTGACAGTTCATATTTCAAAGTGCGGTATGATAACCCACAAGTACAGGAAATCAATTGTAGCCACTTTCGATAAGTAAGAGTGTCGAATCCAACGAGGAGCTAAAGGTAGAATTTATATTCTCTCAAGTTCTATCGACCACCGAGACAACTCTACACGCAATTAATGTTCGCTTTACCTAGAACAAG